CGACTTTCACCGCCTTGCCAGTCCAAACACCACAACCGTCTGGAAGCCTCAGGTAGATCTTCGTTCAGTTGGCGTGTGTGTACGCCTGCTTGACGTCCCAGTGGACAGGCCTCCTACCATTCTCGGTGGATACGGCCACCATAGTTTTGATGGACACCGCGGAAGGGCATGCGGATGATGAGTGGTGAAAATCCACACCGGGAATCTGAGTAAAACCACGCGCAACCATACGTGCTTTGAAGTCGACAATCAGCCCCTTCTCATTGGTCTTGTGCGAGAAAATCCACTTCGCACTGATGGCCTTACGCCCCTCGGGCAGACCGCTAATCTCGGAGAACGTCCCCGTCTTCTTGTGGCCGTCGAACTCCTTTGCTATGGCTGCTTCCCACAGCACCTTGTACTTGGAGTTAAGGACATCCTTGTACGTCAAGGGCACGCACTCTACATCACTTGGCTTCTGGCCGAAGGGCGAGGGGATACTTAGCTGCGGGTCATGAAGAGGTTGCGATGACCCGTCGTCCCCTGCCTCTGCACCGAACGCCTCCTCCTGCAGCTCGGTGCCGTAAGGCAGCTCATGCATCTGACGCCGGTACTCGATGTTGACCTGCTCCTCGTCGTACCGCTCCCGCACCAGCGAGTTGGAAACGTAGTCCACGATGATCTCCGCCAGCAGCGCTTGCTCGGCGTCTGGCTCGGCGTCTGGACCCGGCGGCTCCTCGGGGCCTTGCAGCTCCCGGGTCTCCCTTCGTGTGCGGCCGCGCTCGAGCCCGTGGCGCAGCGGTCCTTCCTTCGAGGCGCCCCAGAGGAGCCGACGCCCTTCGCGGCCCGGCGGGTAGCGGCTGTCGGCGGGATCAAACTTGTACTCCTCGAGTTGCTCGGAGTNCGGTCGCTGCTACTGCTGCGGTCGCTGCTACTGCTGCGGTCGCTCCTACTGCTGCTGCCGCTACTGCTTCTATCGAAGTCGCCTCCTCCCGAAGGGGGCGACAGGGGGACGCCCGAACCAGCGTCCCCGATCCCGTT